GGAAGGGGAGCAACTTCATAATCTTGTTCTACAGCTTCCCAAAAATCGCAACCCTCTAGATAGGTTTGCATTCTCACTGCCCATGCTTGATAATTTTCTCCATCGAATATTGGTGGAGCCATTGCTGAAAAACCACTCGATCCTCCCTCCATTAATTTCTCAAGTCACTCACAGCCCCTTAAGATCAATAAGGCTCTTGATACCAATGTTGATCTTTTATGAGAAAAACAAACATCAGAAACAATATTGTGCAACAGCTTATATTTATTCTCACTAATGAACTTGTTTTAAATACAAAACTGAGCTCATGCGGTTGCTACTAACCAGCTGATTTTGTTGGTCCACAAAATCAGCAACAAACTAACAAAGCAATAACGGTAAAATGCAGTAAACAAACTCCCAAACAAAAGACTAATCAATTTAAAAAACAACTAATTAACTCATAAAAAATAGGACATCAACAGCAGCCTTGAAACACCAACAGTTTTCTCCATATAATGTAACTAAATACCACGGAGTGCAAGTTTTTTTCCAAACTGCCACGACACCATAGTTGCTGAGTTATGTAACGACTATAGACGGAACATGTGGCAAGTTCCCGTTAGCTGGAAAAGCCTTGGAAGCCAGTTGGTGTAAATGTGGCAGGTGTCACTTATTTGGCTGTCTGCAAAAATTACTCCACCGTAGTCGCTTCCTTCTCCATGACTTACTCCACCATAGTCACTTCCTTCTCCAGCGCCCAAATCCAGCGACCGTTTATTTCTCATATTGCTTTTGCACACCTTTTATATAAATGTCCTCAATGTTCATCACAGGGTGTGCTGCCAAAACCATGGCTTTCTGAAAGCTTCCCTCAAATATCTGTTATTTATGGCTTTCACAGTGGAGGATGACAAAAGGGTTGAGGTTCTTCCTTCAACCCCAGGTCAAATTCATCTTCAAGCTTGTTTCTTTCCTTTATGCCTTCCATGCCCTTTTGGTTTTCACATAATGATTCAAGAAACACTTGGACCTAGCTTCAATTGCTTTTTTGTCCTTTTCCAAATCCTGCTTGCTTCTTTATAAACTTTTTTTTTCCTCTTCTCTTTTAAGAGACAATGATAATGCAATAAAAAAAAATATATCTAGGTGCAATGGTTTTAACCTTTTTTTTTTTGTGACCACTGACCAGACACAGGCAGGAGTTTCAAAAATATCTGAAAGACATGAGAGATAAGCGACTATGGTTGAGTAAGTCGCTGGTGGAGTAAGTGACTATGGTGGAGTAATTTTGCAGCCAGCCACCTGCCACATTTACACCAAAGTCGCTACACAATGTAGCGACTTTGGTCCAACAGGCCTCCAAGGCTTTTCTAGCCAATGGGAACGTGTCACGTGTCCTGTCCATAGTTGCTATATAACTCAGCGACTATGGTGCCGTGGCAGTTTGGAAAAAATTTGCATTCTGTGACATTCATATATGTTATATGGAGAGACATGGCAGTACGGTCAATGTACCTATTTTTCTCTTGCATTACTGTTATGTCTGGTTGCTTTGTGCTGTACTGGCCTTAACGTATTTTCAAATAATTTTGGTTACTGGTTTTTCTACTTAAGTGCTAGTTTTACACTTGATTTGTTAAGTTCAGTATTGATTCTGTCCAAGTGATTATATTATGTCCTTGATTAAGTAACTAAGTTGTTAACAATAATTGTTGATCCTTCACTGTTACTACTGGTCGAATTTCTATAGACTATACATATTTGCATATTGGTGGTTGATCTGCCTAGGAAATAATCTGCTGTTACCTTGGTTCATAAATTCTGTAAATCAGTATCTTGAATTGGATTAAAGAGATCACTGGTGAAAACTCCATTGCTGATAGTGATGTCCAACTGACTTAAGTTGGAACTTGTATGAATCCAACTTTATTGTGCTTAATAATTAGTGTATCAGTTGCTGCACATCATCTATATCTGTTTGTCCTTGAACTGATCAAATAGCTTGACTATTTATCAATTCTGCCATATTTCTGTTTAGCTTGTATTAAGGTGCATTGGCAAAATTGTTGTCTTGCATTAGCATCTTAATTGTTGCCTTAAGTTTCTACATTGGTCAGTAGGTATTATTTTATTTATTAGGAAATAAATCTGCAGCTTGGATATCAGTAAACACCGTGTTGGGTTTGCAATCTGCCATATTTCATTTTACTTCCTCGAGTAGACCATTTTGGTTCCTGGAGTAACAGGATAGTATACAGCTTAAATTGTGCCTTTCGATTTAATTGTTCTGTCCTACTGCTGCATATTTTTCCTTGTCGATGCACTTGAATTCATACGAGTGTTTCTTCCCTCCCTTTTATTGGTCACTTTTGAAATTTAACAGCCTTCAATTCTGTTACATTTCTCATACCACCTACTCGAGTAAAAAGTAAAGGGTATTTTATACTCGAGTGTAGTATCTGTACTCGAATAAAAAATTTCGTTTGGTGATTGAAGCCTAATAGTAGGTTCTGTTTCTAAACTTGTACAGCTGGTATATTATAAATTTCATCAGTATAGTGTTCACTTTGTGCAGTAGATAAATTTGTATTGAGAACACTTGGTGGTGGTACAATTTGTTATTTGAGTAAGTGAAATCTTCATTACTAAAAACTTTTCCCTCACGAGAATTATGTCAGGACTCATTTGCAAGGTATGGACTCCTCGAGTCTCAGATTGGTTGTGTAAAGAACCTTAGGATACACCACCGCAAAAGCTAGCTCAAAGGGTGGGAGTGCCCAAGGCTTTATAAACTCTACATTAGTTGCACATACAACCAATGTGAGATTATATATCTCAACTCGCCCCCTCACACAAAAGCCCATTGGGTTTGAAGAGTGGACAATGCAACAGGCCCAACCTACCTGTGCTAAGAAACGCCACAAGAGAAAGTGGGGGGCGGCGAGGCTCTGATACCATGTAAAGAACCAATTCAACTCAAAAGCTTAAGCTGTTGGGTGAGGCTACATTAATGGTTTTATCTATCTCAACACGCCCCCTCACACGAGAGTCCACTGGGCTTTTGTGTGAGGGGTGAGTTGAGATATATAATCTCACATTGGTTGTATGTGCAACTAATGTAGAGTTTATATAACCTCAAGGGGTGGGAGTGCCCAAGGCCTTATAAACTCTACATTAGTTGCACATACAACCAATGTGAGATTATATATCTCAACTGGTTGTATGGGTAATTAATGTGATGTTTATAAGGTCTTGGGCATTCTCATCCTTTGAGCTAGCTTTTGAGGTGGTGCACCTCAAGGTTCTTATCAATTGGTATCAGAGATTTCCACTATTTCTCCAAGGTTGCAATCGAGCGGGGCAGGTGGTGATGCCGGCATTACAATGTTCGCCCGGGGCTAGAAAAGCCTAGCGCAAAGCCAGCCCGCATGGGCACCGGGAATGCAGAGCGTGATGGAATGTTAGGACCCATTTGCGAGGTATGAGACTTGGATTCCCACATTGGTTATACGGACAATTAATGTGAGGTTTATAAAGTCTTGAATACTTCCACCTTTTGAGCTAGTAACTAGCTTTTGGGGCAATGCACCTCAAAGTTCTTATCATATTAGTTCATGTGTATTAAAATCATTGCTTTAGATTTTGTGAGCTGATCTGAAAGTATATTTTGGTCATTGTTTCTTGAAGTTTCACTGCCTCGCTGTTGACTGGAAAGTTCCTTACCCAAGTAGGAAATTGACTATTAGTCAAGTAAAGCTTTTGAGGTAATTTGTTGTACTAGCTAATCATACAGTCTGTTATCTTAAGTTAGTTTACATTTGACTTGACTTGCTGCTTACACTGTATAAATAAAAGGACTAGGCTAACCTCCTTATTTTCAAGAAATATTCATCATTTAGACCTTTTCATATTGGGCGTAGGGAATTAAGTGTCGTTCTTGAATTAATATAAATTACTTGAGTGATATTTGAACTGAATCTAATAAATATCGCTAGTTTCAGTTGAGTTGGTTCGTTCTAGGATTCATCCATTCTACCTTCCCTAGATTGAGCAAAGCTTAAGATCCACTAAAGAAAAAGGTTTCAAAAAATCCCAGAATATCTATTGACCTCCTATAGCTGTTCTTTTGCATAATAAGAAGCCACTTGCATTTTGGAAATATAGAAGGGTAAGGTTATATTTAAGGATTGTCCTTATCACACCCTCATTAACCGATGATAAAAATAAAGCTTTTCTTAAAGATATTTGATACGAATCTTGGAAGATCCTCATCTCAAAAGCTAGCTCAAGAGGTAGGAGAGCTTAAAGTTTATATAAATCTCGTAGTAGTCACTCATATAACCAATGTGGGACTCCAAGTCCCATACCTTGGAATAAGAACATAACATTCCACCATGCTCTGTAGTCTTGGTGACCACGCGGACTAGTTTTGCACTAATCTTTTATTAGCACTGGGCGAATACTGCAATGCTAGCGTCATCACCTGTGCCGCTTGATTGCAACTGAGAGACATAGTGAAAGGCTCTTATAGCAATTGATACGAACCTTGGGAGAACTTCACATCAAAAGCTAGCTCAAGACTCAAGAGATAGGAGAGCTCAAAGTTTATACAAACTCCACATTAGTTACCCGTATAACCAATGGAAAACTCCAAATCCCATGCCTTGGAATAGGATTATAACATTATTGTGACTAATTGATGGTCTAAGGGCTCCAGTACAAGAAGCTGATTCACTTCGGTGGCAGTGCCAGAACAAGGATTTGGGGTCATAGCCTCATAGGCATCAGGTAAACAAAACTCTGACACGGGAGATTAAATTTAAAGATAATGTTATTTGTATATTCAAATTCCTACATTTATTCCTCACACTGACTTCTTTTAAAAGAAAAAATCAAACTTGTCTCACATTCTTTCTCTTTTTCTCTAATACTAATTTAACTCCATTATTTAACATTAGGAGGTGGTAATAAATGAATAAAAGTAAAAATAAATATTACTTGCTTCCTGACCAGGTCACCATGAGATGGCTATTCTTTATACAACCATCAAGAATCATGTTCATAGCTTTGGAGCCTCTCAACAATTTGACTCATGCTGGGTCTCGCGTCTCTCTCTTCCTCCACACATTCCAAAGCCAATGTAGCCAAAATTTCCATTTTATTTATGTCATAGTTTGATCCCAATGCAGTGTCAATGATTTTTTCCACCCAAGATTCCACTTCAGATCCTTTTCTCCTTTTCTCCCTCACCCATGTTACCAACCTCTCATGATGAGACTCTGCTCCCTCTGCAATTTGGATACTTGCCATTGGGCTCTTTCCAGTTATCATCTCCAAGGCAACAATTCCATAGCTATAAACATCAACTTTGGAAGTGATTGGCAAGTTGAAAACCCATTCTGGTGCCATGTAACCTCTTGTACCTCTTATCCTTGAGAAGCTTGAATTGTTGAGATCATTCCGATGGAGAAGCTTAGACAAGCCAAAATCCGCAACCTTGGGTTGAAAATCAGAATCAAGAAGTATATTTTGAGGCTTTATATCACAATGCAAGATCCACTCCAAACATTCTTCATGTAGGTAAGCCAGTCCTCTTGCTGTACCCAAAGCAATGCTATATCTCTTACCCCAATCAAGTGAATTTGATGAGATATTTTCAGCTAAAGAACCATTTTCCATGTACTCATACACCAACAACCTATGCTTTCCCTCTGCACAATAACCCCACATGCCAATTAAGTTCATGTGGTTAAGCCTTCCAATGATGCTTACTTCAGCAAGGAACTCACTTTCTCCTTGGTTTGCCTCATATAGTTGCTTTATTGCTGCAACTCTATTATCTGATAACACACCCTTATAGACAATTCCACCAGCTCCCCTTCCAATCTCTTGACTGAAACCTTTTGTGGCTTGTTTCAGTTCAGAGTAACTGAATCTCTGAAATCCTGTTTCTGCTGCAAGAACATATCCCTTTGAGTCTTCACCGAGGTGTTTCCTATTTCTAATTAAGAAACACAACACCAGAAAGATGCACACTATCTCAATACCTCCCAAGCCACACGCAAACCAAAGCATGAACTTCACTGATCCATTTTCTTTGTCATTCAGGTATGACCTTTCAAGTTCTGTTCCATTTCTTGAACAAACCAAGCTATTATCTTTGATGGGGTTCTTCTCAAAGGAAAAAGTTCTGCTTTCCGGCAATCGCAAGAAGCTTGATCCAGTGAAATCTAATGATTGATACCCATTTAGCAACTGTGACTTTATGTAACATCTAAAGACACTAGCGGACTCAAAAGGGTCGTACTGGAAGCCTACACATTCACACAATTGCAAACACAAAAGCTTACATTGTTCAAAGGTGTAATTCTCATGGTAGTTATAGTCATATCCATAAAATGCGACATGGGGTAGGAACAAGAAGCGAGACTCGGTGTTGTTGTTGTTGCAGGGTAGTTGGAAGTTTGGTTTGCACCCTTGAGACCAATCTTCATTGTTGACCATGCTGAAGCCTGGAAGACACCTACACCTACTACCAGCACTTGGATCAACACTGCAAACACTATTGGGTCCACAAATCCCATGAATCTTACAAGCTTGTTGTTTGGCTTGCCCTGATATTAACCACATATCTTGTCCCTTTTTCCAGCTATATACACGAAGATTACCATCATGATCAAGGGTTAGTCTTCGTTGGAGCACTGTCCCATAATCCAATGTCTTCAAAGTGAAACCATCAGAAGAACTGAATTTCCCCAAACGATCAAGTGCTGCAACCCTGCTACTGTTGTAAGTGGATCTACCAGCATCCCAAGCGAGAAGCCAAGGATCTGGCCAATAAACACTTGAAACTTGAGGACCATCATAAAGAAGACGAAGAACATTGTCGTTATCAAAGAATAGCTTGTAGAAGCCAGAAGAATAGTTGCTCTCTCTTCTTGAGGAAACAAGCTTCATGTACCTTGTGAAATTTTGATCAGGAAGGAGTGTATCTGTTGGGTAATCGAAGCTTTGCCACAGAATGAAACCATTGTTTTGTTCTTGAAGTACGAGGTTTCCAGTGTCGTACAAAAGAAACTCAAGTTGGTTGGATGAGTTGGTGTTTGTGGTCCAAACTATGAACTGTCCTGCATCTGTTAAGATGAGGTTACCATTCTTAAGAAGGGAAAGTTTTGAGCCTTTTCCATTCACTGGTTGGTCACGGTTTGCCATCCAAACTATGGTGGCATTTTGGCCATGTTTATATGCAAGTTTGGTGAACCATATGGAGAAGCAGTAAGCATTTTCTCCTACGGGATAAAAGCCTGCGGTGAATGTGCCATTGGGTGAAACTATAACGTCTTCTTTGAGTTTCTCCACAGAGAGGGAGAATGAAGATGAATATTGAAAAGGCAAAAGCAAAAGCAAAAGCAAAAAAGCCAATAAGATTGAATTGGCCATTCGTGTAGTGTGTAGAGAGAGAGGGTTGATAACATTGCTCAATGCTGAATTCTATGGTTATTGTGAGATAAATAGAAAGGTCATATCAAATCATTTTTTTTTTTAATTTCAAGTAAGAATCAACTAGGAATATAATATTGTCAATGTTGACAATAGTGTGGAATGTTATGTTGTGTGGGAAAGGGGATTTTAGGTATTCTAATATTATCTGGTGCTAACCAGTAATTATCCATGCATTGACTAGTATTTTCAAGTTAATTTGCATTGAAAAGTAGTCGCACTAAACTTTTGTAATATTTAATGTTTTTTTATCTTAGTACTTTTCTAAAAAAAATAAAAAGTAAAAAATAAAAATTTATTTACGACAAATGTTATATATATATACACGAAGATAAAAATAAGTTCTTAAACAAGGTCTGACTGAATATTAGCATACATTTAAGTTTGAGATGTGAAAAAAAAAAAACTAAGGAGAATGTAAAATGAAAATAAATAATATTATAAAATTCATAAAATATAATTTTTTTTTAATTTTCTTATTGTTTAAGCGAGTTGACCCGCCAATCCATCATAAAATAGGACAAGTTGGACACTTCAATTCATAGTCAACAGACGGGGCGAGTTAACCCGTTTTATCACCTTCTAGCATTAACTTCTGTGGTCCGTGTTAAATTCTGAACAAGTGATCACCCTTAAATTAAGTGCAATTGTTTAAGACAGAACATTGAAGTTTGCAATGTAGCTTTGTTTAAACTTTAAAAATAAATAATTTTGTTAAGGATTTTTAGAATCTATTATTTTTTTTAAAAAATTAAAAAAATTAAATATTTTTTTGGGGTTTCAGCTCTTTTAGGAAAAGCTTATTTAATAATTATAAAAAATATTTAAATAAAAAATTTCTTAAAAAAATAACAAATAGGTGATTACTCTATCTATTTTAAAATAATTGCTACTTAAGATTTTACATAAAAGTTTAAGAATTCATTAAATAATTTATTTCATAAAAGAGTAACTATATGTTATTAATTAAATTACTCTTTAACTGTATTAAATGTCTTTTTCATTCTACAAAAAATACCAAGAGAAAAAGCTAAAATTTTAAAAAATAAAATATGCATTCTTGATTTTTCAAAGTGACAAACAATTTTAAAAATTTTGATGCATTCTTGATTTTCTGAGTGAAAAACAATTTTATTTTATTTTTTAAAAAAAAGGAACTAAAATTTACAAAGTTTTAATCATTTGAAAATGAATGGAATATCTTCTCGCAACTACACCCCTTTGTTTCATTAATTTTTACTTTACTATTTTAGTTTAGTTTAAATTATTTGTCATTTTATAAAATTAAGAGGGCATTTTTTTATTATTTTTATCCTTATCTTTTGATTTATTTATATTTTTGGTAAACAACCTTATCTTTTGATTTTATTAAGTAGAATAAGATAATTTTATTAAAATAAAGAAATAATTAATCAAATAAACATATATTTCAATATTTAATATCCTTGGAAGTCACTGACATATTCCCGTGGACCAGTTTTGCATCAGTTTTTTTCCATGTTTCTTCATCGTAAACTCTATCTTCGGAATGGGCATCTGGAAATTGACGTTTTAGATAGATAAAATATAGCCCAACTATCTAATAAATATATATATATATATATATATATATATATATATATATATATATATATAGAACTCAACTTGTACATAAACTTAATAAATAATTCGTTGAGCTTTTAGAACCTAGGTATTGCCGGTCCAAGTCTTATAAAGCATTTTGGTTTTCCACTGTTTATTTTAGAGAATTTTCTTCTCAATAGATATTAAATTTTATTAAAGCAAGTAAAGAAAATATAGTTGTAAAATGCAAGAGATTGGACTTTTTGTTTGCTTGACAAGTCATGAAAAAGAACTTGTAGAGTGCATCCCTGGCGTTTCTTCAACAACAATAGCTTATTTGCTCACTATTTCCCATGGAATAATGACAAAATATTGCAATGCAGTGGAAGGGTCAAACAAGCAAAATATCCTATTTTGACTCTAGCGCTTAACTTGGCATTTGTGTTTATGAAACGTGACCCCGTGATATTTTAGTGGTTAGATACTCAGCAACACAATCGTGCCATTGTACTATACTCTATTGACCCATTATTTGATATTAATAAGCCTTCCATCAAATAGCATGACGCAACTCCTTAGGTGAGCCCATAGTTTTCAAGGGGAAGCTTCCCGTCCAAGTATGACTCTATGAATTGGAAATTTCCATTCTCATTGGAGATGAAAGAAGACATGACATGAGTCCTCAACACGCTTTGGCTTTGTTAAAATTAGAGCAAAAAAACTTTTCAATAGTCAGTAAAAATTATGAGGCTTATTTTAATTCTTTAAAAAAAAAATTGACTTCTAGTCTCTGATAAGTCCATGTAATGTGACTTAAAACACATGGTTGTTAATATAAAAATGTGAAAAAAAGAATATTTTGTGTATAATATTATACCCAAAGACATTGAGTTGTAATTCTGTGGAGTAAAAACTGATGGGTTGTTTTTCTTTTATGTTTCAGGTAAAAAGGAGAAGTAAGAAGAAGTGGGCCATAGAGCATAAATCAGAAGGGCCCAAACTGAAAAAAAAAAGACACAAAACAAATGGGCTGGTGTCAAACCAACAAAGCCCAATTCATCATCAGAAAGAAAAAAGAGGGAGAAATGAAAGGGTACAACCCAAAAATACCCAAGGCAGCGGCTGAGTCCCCATTTCCTAACCTCACGAACCCTAGTCGCCGCTCAAGCCAATACTCTCATTCCAGCCACAACCCCAACCCAAACCATGGACCCGCTCTTCTGAACCAGCCACAATAAACCATCAAAGCACCCACAAAGCTAGGCCATCAAACAGTCAGTTCCATTTCTTTGTCAGCCATCGAACCACAAAAGCCTTTCTTTGGAGCGATTAACTTGACCATTGTTCTAGAAGCCTGACTCTAACCGATTAGTGACGTGGAGGTTGTTACAAGCGTGGTGAGGGATTCTGTTTGGAGGAGCATTTGAGGAAAGCGTGGAGCAACGAGTGCTCATGTGGACTCGAAGCAAGGAGCGCATGTGGAGATTAATGCTGAAAGGGCCCAAAGCCCATGCATGAGAGGAGATCGAGTATAAAAGAGCAAGGATAAAATTTTGTAGGCTCTTTTTTTTTCTCTCGAAGCGTCTTCTGCAATTTCTTTCTTCTTCTTAGTTGTTTTTACTTTTGCAGGTTGGATGCTGTAATTTCTGGTGGTTTTCATTTTGCGAATTTAAGCACAGTGACAAAGCTATCTGTAACAGCTCGTGGTACACCAGTATTATTAACATTGATTATGATATTAAGCGCAGTTACAATCACAACAATTCATTTATAAAAATGCGAATAAACTATTTCCTTTTCATTACGCGAGCATTTAAAACAATAATAAAGCGTAATGAATAAAAGTTGTGACCGTAACTGAAAACTAATTGCGGAATAAGTAAAACAGATCCCTAAATATCTTATAATACTTCTCTCAAGTCACTAAGGGGTTCCCATAAACCCACTTAGCATAAATCTCACTTTTACAGTTTTTACCTGTCCAAACATGGTTCAGTATTTTAATTACTGCAGAAAATTCGTGTGTCGCGAACCTCTCATCTTTTAGTATGTTATTCTAGACTTAATTATCTTTCCAATAAGCTATCGCACGCTCCAAAAATTTCTCTTTTGCTCCGGATATCACCGTTCGAAGTTGGACAAGCAAATCTGCCAGCCAACCTCAAATAGGGCTCCAAACAGCCTTCACTCTTTGCACGATTCCGGACAAAAAAATACACCAATTGCTCTCAAATTTTTATACAAAAAACTAGACACCTCAAGCTTCAAATTTACATATCATGCACGTAATTTGACCAAGAATTGAGGCAGTAATAATTTTCTCAAAAACAGACAGTGACAACCCCAAGTGCAGGGGATTTTTGGACAGCCTGTGTTCAACGGCTTCTACAGGGCAGCGTGCTACTCCTATGGTTCTCAAATTTTGACACAAGGTATTTGGAATCTCAAGATTTAAAATAGTGTATGACACGTCCCTATTGGACTTCTGTGGAGGGAGATATGTTCTCCCAAAATTCACTCAAAATCTACCATTTTATAGAAATTTCGCCAGAGTCTCCTTTGTTTTTCCAACATATTCCACTTTTAAAAGTGTGTTATCTATCCTCAAATGGTACCTAATAAACATGGGTGGCACTCAAAGACCAACAATGCCTTGGTGCTTTTACAACCCTTAACATTTAATATCAATTTATTCAATATACATAATACATACTTACTTTCTCAAGTTAACTTGTTTCAACCACATTAATTCCTTTGCATGCATTCTTTTGACATAAAACATAAATTATATCCTAGAATAGGCCTATTGCCCTTTCATCATATAGCATGCTCAATATTATACAAAGTCTCAATATTACAAATTACAATTCTTCATTTACAACAATTACAATAATCCTTTAAATGTACATAATGAATCCTCCAAAATAAACCATGATAAATAATAACTAAACTTAGACAAAATATGACATGAACAAAGATGGCAATATGAATAATCCTAGATCACATACAATGTTCATGTCCTAAGTCTAGCCTAGGCCCAATGGCCACAAAATGCAAAATATACTCTAAGCCCTCATGTTTATCCTACGGGCCTCTTGCCCGCCGCTCTAATGCCACTGCCACTACCTGAAAAAAAAGTTCCCAAAACGGGGTGAGATATATGAATATATCTCAGTAACCCAGAGGTTCTGGGGATTACTCCGCCCAATGGCTCACTCAGATGTACATTAACAATATACCACAACATTCAAAAGGGAGAAAGCAAGGGATTTAATGAAGTAAGGAAGCATAGGGAGTAAAAATACGATGAAGTTGAAATGGTCGATACCAAAGCCACGCAACATCCGGCCTATTTGCCTCGGCATATAGCCTAAAGGTTCTCATCCAAGGAAGTGTTCTCAGAACATCAACCAAGGCACCATCCATCCATATACACCCGAGACATTCCTAGAGTGCTCCTCAACGGATGACACCCCATGACCCTAGGTCAACTAGAACTTCCTTATGAAGAC